TCGAAAACTTATTCATTTACTTATTTTATGATTCAACAATATTGTCCTTTAGATTGAAAATAGGCTCCATGAGTTGTAAAATGGACTAATTAGGCCCAATGTTTCGAAATATGTTAGCAATTCAGGCCGTTAACTAACAATGCCTAATGCGTCTATGGCTCTCATCGAACCGGGACTGCCTACTTTGTTCGAAACGGTGGCGATACTACTGAGGAGATAAATAGCGCAGATGAATATAATTTGTCCTAATCCGTTCTGAGTGACCCGAATTTCTTAATTATTTTCACCCATCATTTTTGCTGGCCGATTGAAATGCACATGTTGGCCTCTACAAAGTAGTTACTTTAGCTGAATAAAGTCAAGCCAAAAATTAGCCGTCTAATTAATTGTGGAGAGGCAATCAAATAAGCTCAACATGAGAATGGGCTACGATGCGTCTTTTAGGAAATTGTGTCCAAAAAGGAGAGGATCAAGAACCTAAATCAAGGTACTTTTGTTCATGAATATATTCGAGCCTTCTACCTACTGGCTACGACTGGCCAGATTCAGGTGTGTGGGAAAAGTGCATAAAATGTAATAAAAATATTCGAAATAGTTTTTGGCACAGTTCTATTTCTACTAAAAATCCCTACAGCCTGCACTAGACACAGAGAGACATTGACTGACCTAATCTGGAGGAGAGAGGATGAACTAAAATCGGCTCTTTTTTGGTCAGGTGAACTGTTCTGCTATCGAAGACCCGAGGCCGAGAAAGCGGTTGCAAGTAGTTCGGTTTCTCGTTGGTAATCGTGCGAGGCAGAGGCGAGACGACTGTCTGAAACAAGCCAGGAGAAGACTCTCGAAGGCCATCCGGGCTGAATTTTGGCTGAGGAGACTAAAAGGAATATATAGAATAAAACTGTAACCTTATGAAAATGAGAACTTAGAGGCATCATGAGCGAATACACAGCAGCATCAGCAATTGGCGTGAAGATGCATCGATTTAGGGAAACTAGAGTACCAATAATTGAATATGAGAAAGTGTTTAGCGTGTAGACATATGTGAAGCAGATCTTATTTTAATCTTAGTATTTTGAAGACCCTCGGTATGTTAGAATTATATTAAAATAATAAAGCATATACAAAAATTTAGCGCGAAAGACACCTTTCAAGGGCCGATCTGAATAGGTAATAAATATAGAAGAGAACTTTGGTATAAACAGTAACCCACCAAGGCATCTTATGCAAATTTTAAGCTCAAGAAGATGCTGTCGCCAAAATACGGAACAGAGAGAGGCACAAGACGAAGGGCTTTTATGTAGGTGGGAAGAAAGTGATCTCTAAAGAAGGGGCGAGAAAAGATATGTAGCCTGAGGATGGATCTGTAAAACTAGTTTCGTTTTTAGCAAATAATTCTTGAAAATAAAAAATCAGAGTGTTGTCACTGAGCCAAAAAGTTAACAAAGACTTTTATGACCACATCCACCTTGCGATTACAATGCTCATCAAAAATGCTAGATATACTTCAAAATTCCGAAATTAAACATTGTAAG